GCATTTTCTTATCAAGTGGTATTTTCATCAAAATAAATATAGATCTTATAAGCAAGAAACTTATACTCACATGGTTATGAAAGCAATGCAAATAGTTTTATTGAAACCACATTAACCCTAACCACAATAAGACTTCTTAATAATAGAGTCGGTACATCAATTCTCTCATATTCGTGACTCACTGGTACTAGAAAAACCAGTTTGTGTTCAGTTTACTCACTACAGATTATAAGAGCATCTTCCTATATGTGGAAAGATGGCAAGAGTGACCTAGGTGATACAAATTAAAAGGATGCTTCAAAATAATAATTATAGAAATAATTGAATAATGGCACTCTCTTATAAAAAGCCAGAATACTTCAACATATCTTATCCAAGAAATATGGCCTCAAGATTCATCTTAAAGCAAAGCCTTAAGGCATCTGACTGTTTATTAAATGAATCCCTAGGCATACTGCATAATCACCTTAGTATAACTTTTTTTTAATCACTTTTTTTTCAGCTTTACTGAGGTATAATCAACAAATAAAATTTTAAGATATTTAAAGTGACGATTTGATATATGTATACATTGTGAAGGAACCCCTCTTCTTCCATTGAGTTAACACATTCAACATTTCAAATATTTATTTTTCGGAGGGGGAGGAGGGCGAGAACATTTACGCTCAACTCTCTTAGCAAACTTCATAATAGTATATAATTCTAAATGCAACCAGGTCAATTCAGCAGTTCACCACTTACAGAATGGTTATTACATACAAACACTGTATGAGATACAGTAGTGACTACAATACACCCCTTGTATTCAAGGAGCTTACAATCAAGTAGGAAAATAAAATGTGCACAAATGACTAGAGCCTTTCTCAACTGGGATCACTTCTGTGAATTACAGAAGGCTGAAACTGACTTGAGCACTATTTTCTCAATTCTTTCAAGGAGGATGCATAACTAATCCCAATCTAGATGCATATGATGGATACCTTAGGGTGTAATGGGAGAAAAGAATCAAAAGGTAGACAAGGTATATCATGCTCCAAATTTTGTATTCTTTGCTGTGGATCACTGAGAGTCCTCAAATATTTCTAAGCACAGAATAAAATCAGACATGTAAAATACTATTCTATAGCAACAATATAGACGAAGAGAGAGAACTGGAAGCAAGAACACCAACTATGAAACTATGAAAATAATCTCAGCCTTGGCTGTAATAATGTCCTGGGCTACAAAAAGGATCAGGGAGGATAAAGAGGAAAATGAAAAGAACTTGGTAAATGACAGGACCAAGACTAGGAGAAGCAGTTGTCTCCAAGGTTTTCATTCAGGATGACTGGGAAGCCAATGATACCATGAAACAATGTGAGAAACACAATACTTTATAGGTTATAAAGAAAAAAGAAAGGCTTCGATAAAAACAAAACAAAACAAAAATCACAATAGTAAAAATACTTTTTTCTAGGCCTTTTACTATGCTAGATTTATTTTAAAACAAATATATTTAACAAAGAACCATAATTAAAGACCAGATTTTAAAAAGCATGTATAGTCTCCTATATCACTTCTTCTGAATAAAATATTAATAAAACCAGAAAAAAAATCCTAAACAACTTTGTCTTAGAAATAGAGAATCCCACTATTTAACTGCCAGAACCAGTTTATTAAGAGGATATATGTGGATATCTCTTAGTCCTCCAGAATATCCCATAGGACTGATCTTTTATTTCCCAAGGAGAAAAAAAGACTGAGATCAAATCAATGAATGAGCACAGTATGTGTAACTATAGCTCTTGCTCTGCTGAAAATCATTGTAAATTCTCTTCAAGTATAGTTCTTATTGAAGAAATGACTCGTCAGTAAGACATCACTATAAGTAAGACTAACCTTTTAAAACAGACCAGTTAATCCACAAACCAGCCACTAGCCAAAGCTCTAAGGAAGTTTCCCTAATAAAAGGAATGACAAATTTTATATCATTGTCTAAAAGTATTCAAAGAATTTCAAGGAAAAATGTTCTAGAAATCCATAACAAAAATGTAAGATCTTTTCCTAACCAGTCTTAGAATTAAACTTTAAATATTGGTGCATTAATATGGGATAAAATACAGAAGTTACTTTAGGATTTCAAATGTGTATTATGTCTCCTCTATCTACTTCTATTCCTCAAAAAAGTCTTGAATGCCTACTAGGCATTGGCATTATCAACTCAGACTCACAGGAATCTTTGCCTAAAATCCGATCGATGTTCATAAACCCTATTCTAAAATGTGCTATGAAATTTTTAATGGAAAACACTTGAATATGACCTTCTATACATGTATACAAATTTGTAAAAAAAATAAATTTATTTTCCCTTTTGTCCTATGGGAGACAATGTGATCATGTTACTGCTCAGTTTAGCAGTCAAACTATTCAACAACCAAAAGCAGGAGAACAAATTAGCCTTTAGAATGATTCTGAGATGGCAGAAATGTTTACTAAATTATGTGCAACACCCGAGGCAACTACTTTCCAAAAAAGGCAGAACAACATAAGCAATAAGAGTAAAGATTTAGCTGTCAGAGTCCTTGGTTAAGATTTCAGCTCTGATATTTGTGAGCTCTGCTGTCTCAATTTCTTTATCTATAAAATGGGGATTACACTACATAAACAACCCTGTGAGGTAAATCAAATCAGTGCTTTCCATACCTGGCTGGTTACCAGAATCATCTGGGAAACTTAGAAGAAACTAATATCCCAGGCCCCGTTCCATACTTTCAGGGGTGTAGTCCACGAATTTGTATTTTTTAACTAATTCTAAAGATGATCCTCATATACCAGTCACAATTTGAAAATCACTGGAAAAAAATTATATATTTGAAGTATTTTTAATATTCTTATCTAATTTGTATATTTCTACATATATATTACTTACAAGTACTCTAGTACTTGTTCTAGTACTTGTAAATGTTCAATAAATGCTTGATGTAATTATCAATAATTATTTTGAAATAGAGAAAACTGGGTATTTTGTAACAAAATGGCCCCTAAGTAGTCTTGCAGAACTATTTTGCATAACCTCTCACCAAAAATGAGACTGAAAGCATAGCACTATACTTTCTAAGACATAATGAAAGATGTCATAAGTGAAGAAGTTCCACAATGACAATGCTCCTTTCCCATAATACAGCTTATGACAGAAGGAAACTATAAAGTCAGGCATGTCTTGTATTTCTAATAACAAAGCTTGACCAGGTCATTCCATCAAAAAAACCTTCAAATTCATTTCTTATTTCTCAGTAATTCATACAATTCATCCAAATTCACCACAGAACAATGCAATTACTAAATAAATGTGTACAATAACATTAACCATATCTAAAACAAATACCTAAAACTCACAGAGATGGATAATATTGAAGATCCTTGGTTCTTAATTATGAATAATAACTGCACCTTTCCTTTTTAAAAGTCTAAATCTTTGAATTAATTAGCCTCTCTAAATAAAGTAGCCTCATATACAAGATATTCAGCCTTTAAAAAGAAGTCTAACCATACTTTTGTATCACTATTGTACAAATCAATGTTATCTATAAGATTATATTATTATTCTCAGAGTTCTATTAAGAAACAACAGATCTATTTTTAAATGTAGTTTCCAGTTTGTTCCTATTACACTACAAACTGAGGGTACATTCAGACACCACTATAGTACTTAGTACTCTCTTTCCTAAATGGAGATATTAAATAAAAATAATTACCACCAATTGAAGGTAAAGTGCATTCTATGGCCATTTGGAGTATACTACATTTATTTATTGGACACTAAAATTTTTTATGTTAAAATACTTTTTAGAGATGATATTTAATACACGAATGTGTAAAAGTTAAAATATTTCAGCTGTACAAAACAGTTTATCTACCTAATTGAATAAGGTGTTTTGCTTTTGGGTTTATTTCTACATATACACATCTTACAAAGATTATGGGGATCAATGACCTAATGCTAACAGATTGCTGTAAGTACTGAAAAAGAAGTATGTTATGTAAATAAAGCTTAAAGAGAAGAAATTTTTTGGTTATTAAATTATAGGTCTTTACCATTTTCTTCTATCAAGTTTTAACCATTAATCCTACTGGTATTAGAGAAACAAACCAAGAGATCCAAAAGGCCAAGGTAATCTGATCTTAAGAGTTAAAAGAAACCTAGTAAAAACTAGAGTTTAAAGATGTCTCAAGCAAGAATAACCAAAAGTTATCACCTTTTCTCAGTCTGTAGAATATCAACTATTCATATTAAAAGTCCTTGTAAAGCACAGGGCCAGCGCCAACTGTCTACATGATAGAGAATGAGGAAAAGTTCATCAATTTAATCTGACTACCCACCACACCTACATTTTCAGATATATTCCAGGCCAGGGGAGTGGGATTCAAAAGTCTTTGGTACACACTTGATTAGCTGCAAACAAAAAATATAATACTTGGAACTACCAACAATACATGACAAAAAACGTTGCTCTTCTGTTCCTTTCCTCCAAAACTACTTTTTAATGGATATATCTTCCTGATGCCTTTGTAAAACTCCATACTTTCTTGGTTACCTTTCTGGGTCCCTCCCCATGGTAAAAATGGGTATTTTGGTCAAATAGTCTTGAAAAAGGCACCAAAATTTAAGAATGAAGGAGAGAAAGGAAGAAAAAGGAAGGGTTATGACATCACTCCTCCATCATCGATCACTTTTCAAGAAACTAAGCAGGGTGTATCTCACACAGTAAAGTACTACAATGGCTGTAAAACTCTCCCAAGGAGCACAGGATGGGAATATCCTTCAATCTTCTCTACCTCCACCACAAAGTGAGAAAAGTTTAGGACATAACAAATTAATGTTTGCAAAATTAGCTATAGTTCTCATGACAATAAACATTCAAAAATTAACTCCAAAGAAAAATTATTAGTGGGTTCACCATAGTAATATTACTTAAAAAAATACAATTTAAAACAGCGCAAAGTACAAAACAATAACTTACTTGAGTTGGAACAAGTACAGGAGGATAGGCCATCTTATGATGCCTATATACCCAAAATGCACAAATGACAATCCCCGCAATTAACATAAGTGGCACCAAGGAATAGAGCAAGATGTTGTAATAGGGTGGCTTAGGTGTAACTGGATTTGAAGTAGCTGTGGAAAGGGGAGAAAAAAACTGCTCAGATTTGGTCTATAAAACTCTACAATACTTAATATAGGGTCAAATTTTAGAAGAAAAGTAAGAGTAATAAAACTAAGAAGTAAATTATTCCATCAACACAAATATGCTTTGTTTTCAATCTACTAAACAGACTTCTGTATCTTCCCTGTATACTTACGCTGTGTGACTTCCATCTCAGGAAAATAAGAAAATCTTTCGTTACACATATTCCCCTCACAGCAACAAAAATATACTTCAGGGCTGTCTTTTTTTTCTATACAATCAGTCCTATAAATAAACAAAAGAGGAATAATTAGAATCAATATTATACTGAATCTACATTAAATATTTTTCTGAAGTTCTTCTCAGAGATAAAATAATAAGTCCTTTATAGTCGACTTCAAGATTTTTATTAATAGCCAACGTTCAATTCTTAAAATTCGAAACTGTTCCTGGAATCTTGTTATTAAACTTCATCAAAAGAAAATCATCAGCAGATTTTATAACAATCACACTGACTCCTTGAGACTATGAATACAAAAACTGAACATTATATATAAAACTGTATGTGTGTACATATAAATACACACACACACACACATATGCATACACATAAATAAAGAAACACAAAATGATGCAAGTTCATACCTCATAGCAGAACATATCTCAGTATCAGAGACCCAAACTAGGTAGGCTTGGGAATTAAGAGTGTCATTTTTTTGTAACAATAGATTTAAATTCCCTGAACACAATGAACAGGGTTAAGATAAGCAACAAGTGAAAAACAATATGTAACAACAAACAAGAGAACCTAGTAACTCAAAAACCGATTAGTTAGGCTGATTTGGGGTGGGGAGAAGGGCAGCCTTCTACATAGCACCTAAGTTGCTGAAAAGATAGGGATTTAGCCTCTAGTACAAATGCTAATCAACCACTAAGAAACAGCTATACAGTAGTCCCCTCTTATCCACAGGGGATACGTTCGAAGATCCCAGTGGATGCCTGAAACTGAGAATAGTACTGAACCTTACATATATATATACATGTATGTATATATATACCATGAACTGTCATGTCACTTTACAAATGATACCTATCATAAAGTTTAATTAATAAATTAGGCACAGTAAGAGATTAACAGTAATAATAAACTAGAACAATTATAACAACACACTTATAATAAAAGTTATGTGAATATGGTCTCTCTCTCTCTGATAACTGATCTGATAATCAAGATGGCTACTAAGTGACTAACAGGCAGGTAGACAATGTGCAAATATTGGACAAAGGGATGATTCAAGTTCCAGGTGGGGTGGGACGGCACAAGATTTCGTCTGAACACTCAGAACGGCATGCATTTTTAAAACTTATATATGTTTATTTCTGGAATTTCCCATTCAATATTTTTGGGCTGGAAAATGACACGTAATTGCCAACGGTAACTGCAATCACGAAAAGCAAAACTGTGAATAAGGGGGTACTGCTGTATCTATTTTTTTCAATCGAACATCTAAATATTGCTAATAAACATCGGGTAATTTAAAGATATATCTTACAAGTAAACTGTAAACTTTTGTAATGGTTGTTAGGATAATATGGTTGAATTTAACTTTAAAATGAAAAGCTCAATATTTCAGGGAGAATGCAACTTCAACAAAATTCAAACTTTAAAATGAAATCTATACCAATATTTATCGAGTAGAAAGTAAAAGACAAATGAAAGCTAATTTTTAAGTATAGAGAAATGTATATATAAATATAAATTTAGTATTTAGAATTATGCCTCAAATTATATGTTAACATGATTAAATACCTAGCCTAATTAATTCTAGAAAATTACTTTTCGCCTTCCAATTTCATTCTTTTTACTACTTTTTGCCTCCACACTTTAACATTTCTTGAATCTTCTTTTCCTTTCTCCTACTGTCCTTAATATGTTTTTTAATCAAACTCAGAGCACAAAACAAAAATTCACATGCTTTTAAATTAGCATATGACCCCTAGAAACAAAGCTGGTATAGTAATTATCACTGTAAAAGCAAGCATTTGCACTGAACAATCCACTCCTCATTATCTAGTAAAGTTTAACCTCCAGCAATACTGTTTTATGTCAAAAGCATATTAGCTTTTTACTACAAAGAACAGGGATCTCTGATTTCAACTAATCAGTGATAGTTTTAGATAAAAATAATACTCAAATCTCATTATTTCCCCAACTTCTTCCTACTTATCTTTTTTTTTAAACTGAGATATAACTGACATATGACATATTATTTTTCAGGTATATGACATAATGATTTGATATTTGTATATATTGTGAAATGATCACTACACTAAGTCTAGCTAATACCCATCACTACACATAATTACAAATTTTTTTTGTCCTTGTGATGGGAACTTTTAAGATCTACTCTCTCAGCAACTTTCAAATATACGACACTATTATTAACTATGGTCGCCATGCTGGTATGTTATTATCCCCAGAACCTATTGGTTTTATAACTGGATATTTGCACCTTTTGACCCCTTTCACCCACCCCTCACCCCTATCCCCTGGCAACCACCTATGGTTGGTTCTGTGTATTTATGAGGGGTTTTGTTATTTTTTTTTTAAGATTCCACATTTAAGTGAGATCATAGGGTACTGGTTTTTCTCTATCTGACTTATTCACTTAGCATAATGCCATTAAGGTTCAACCCTGTGGTTACAAATAGCAAGATTTCTTTCTTTTTATGGCTGAATAATTTTCCATTTTGTGTGTGTGTGTGCACACACGCACATCTTTATATCACATAGATTGCTTCCACATCTTGGCTATTATAAATAATTCTGCCATGAACATGGGGATGCATATATCTTTTTGAGTTGGTATTTTCATTTTCTTTGGATATAAACCCAGAATTAGAATTATTGGATCATATTGTAGTTTTATTTTTTTAATTTTTTGAGGAACCTGAAATACTGTTTTCTTAGTGACCCTATTTATCTTTCATAAGAGCAAATATCACTTGATGATCACCTCTGTTACTAGAGAGGCTAATAATCGAAATGCAGCTAAAATGTATAATTATGGAGAAATAATCCCTGGAAAATTCATAGTTACAAGTATACCTTAAATATTAAATATATACTTAAATGACTATTGTAATTTCTCATGAAAAGTGGTGCTAATTCAATTTATGAACTTATTCAATGCATTTTACTATTAATCACATATGGCCAACTACCATAAATTCATGGTAATCAACTGGGGCTCCTGAAAGCAGATCAAGAAGTATCTAGCATTCCATGATTATATCAGTTTTGGGCTCCAAGAAGTCTCGTTATCTAGGACTTTATAGTCTCTACCAGTTATCAGCACCCATCCACAGTGAAAATCCTGTGGCTCAGACAGTTTAAGTGATCAGCCCATATCTATGGGATTCCTTACAGAAAGATCGCCAACAGCAATAACATGTCCACTGTTTTATTTCCAGTACAAAATAAAACAATTTAAGCAAAATCTTTTAAATAAAATGTAGCTTTCTAAGAGGACTGTGTTAGTTCTGATGTAATTCTGAACGTTGAGTTAAAATGTCTCTTGGGGTAAAGAACAAAGGCCTATTTTGTAAGAAAAAAAAAAAAAGGAAAAAAATGTAGTAAGATCAATTTCCTCCAGATACATTAAGAAGAAAACTAAAAGGAAATTAAATACTACGATTAAGCTTTACTCTCCTTGCAGGCAGATTTTCAACAGATATGCTCTCTTTTAAAGCAATTTTAAAAATCCTTTATCCTTAAAATT